AATCGGTAAAAGGGAACCTTTTTGGGATATCTTCACGAAAATGCAGAAACTGCATTCTGTCGTGAAATATTCGGATATCTGCCCGTGGAATATCCGGATATGATATCCGGATATGTGTATTCGGATATGGGGTTTTGGGATATCTGGATATTGTATATTCGGATATGGGATTCTGGATATCCGGATATTGCATATCCGGATATGTACAGTGAGATATCCGGATATTGAATATCCGGATATAGTCCCGAGGAATATCCAGATATTCTGGGATTTCGCAGAAGAGTAGCTGTGTTGTGCATATAGTAGGCTATTGGGGGTTTGTAGACCCTAGATTGATGAAGTTGAACTTCTGTATTTAATGAACTAAGCCAGAATCATGAGATTAAGGGCTTGTGGCTTTGTTTGAAGCTTTAAGACTTGAAAACGTAATGAAAAGATGTTGTCTTTAATTGTATGCATGTGGTACATGTTTATTGATTTATATTTGGTCCATATCAGATTGTGATCTGCTGTGATTGGACTTTGAGCTTGTGGCTTTGGATAGCTAGCTTAGAGGTAAGCTTTCGTGTCCTCGGCTTTGCCATTGTTTGGTTCCACCATGTCCCATGAGGGTATGGTTATATGCATGTTGTGTTACATGCTTTTGATGTTTTGGAAATGTTGTTGAGCTGTTATATGCAATGTGCCTTTATGATATCCATGTGGTGTTCCACCTATACGGTAAGCCTGAGTATGTGGTACATACAAGATGGTGAGGTTGTGGGTGAGGTGCAAGCGGTGTTCCTTGTACTACATGTAGGAGATAGACATATTCCTGCATTTCTCTGGCCAGTAGATAGTGATTACACACATGCCATAGATATTTGTTGCACTACATAGTTTTGGAACTGATAATGATATAAATGCTTTTTGAACTTATATTGCACATGCAAGTGAGCTTGGGGTGGAAGATCCTTGAGGACCCCTTGTCTTACTGAGATTTCTAGTTTAGAGATCTCACCCCACGTTTGGGGAATGCTTATTTCAGGGTCAGGTAATGTTGAGACCTCAGGCGGCAGGAGGCCGGAGCTGAGTTAGATTGCTGTTATATTATGCTGCCATGATTGGATGCTGGATTTGCATGCTGCTTATGCTTATAGCTTCAGTTTATGTTTATGGATTTTTATGTTGAGACTTGTTGTTTACTATGTTTATTTGGTGAGCATGGCGATTGTCCATGACACATAGTATTATTATGTCTTGTTATGTCTTGAGTCTTTTGGAGTTGTAATAATGTACCAGGATATTGTCCGGATTACTTGATGTAATGCCGTGATTTAGATACACACTTTATCTATATATTGAGGTATTTCACTAGATGTCTTATTGCAATTTACATACTGGCGATATTTTATGAAATTGATTAAGTAATCAAGCTGGTAATTGATAATGACGTCATAATTGAAAAGAAAAAGAATATTCCGCATTTTTAATTAAGCACCGCTTAATACGATGTAATGTTAATATTCCGGGTATACACGGGGTGTTACAGTACGTCTTTCTCAACTATGAATAATAGAGTAACTTTATTTGTTAACTCATTATTTTGATTGCTTCAGATTCTATAGAAGATTCTAAAATCATATCTGTAGATCCGGAAACACTAAAGCCATGATCTTTGTTAAACTTATTCTCAAAGAATTCCGCATCTCTGGATTCTATCACCGCATTTGTAGATAGATCCAAAAATCTATTTGCAGCACTGTCTTCTGCACTTCCTAGATATACGCAAGTAATGGTTCTAAGTCCCACCTTATGTCTCTTAGGATTTTGTATTCATACATAAGCAATACATCCCCAAGTCTAAAGAGTATCATATCTACAAGAACACTTATGCCATATCTCATAAGGAGTCATAGACAACTTAGAGTGCGGCAACCTGTTCAGGATGTGATTGGCAATTACAACTGCTTCTCCCCAATAGGAGGAAGACATGCCAGCTGTAAGTGACATAGATTTTAACATTTCAGTTAATGTCATATTCTTGCGCCCAACAACACCATTTGATTGGGGTGAGTAAGAAGCAGTGGTTTCAAGTATTATGCCTTCCGAAGCGCAAAATTCCTTGAACCCTGTCATTATATACTCTCCTCCTCTATCTCTCCTAAACCTCTTAATTTTCAAGTTGAGTTGGTTTTCTACTCTTGACTTAAAAATCTTGAACTTTTCAAAAGCTTCATCTTTTGATTTCATCAAATACACATGACAATATCTAGAAAAATCGTCTATGAATGTTGACAAGCACTTCTGACCACCTCTAGTAACATAATTTCTAAAGTCACAAAGGTCATAATGTATTAAATCAAGAAGTTGTGAGCTTTTAGAAACCGACTTAAAAGGTTTTCTAGTGATCTTAGTTCGTACACATACTTGACATTTGTCAAATCGAATAGAGACATCTAATGAAATATCATGAGTTTTAGCTAGATGTTGCATTTTTCTGTAGTTCACATGTCCAAGTCTATTATGTAACAACTTTGAATCAATCAAAGATGAACTCACATGGTTTATGCTCTCAGTATCTAAACTCAACCTATACATACCATTAACATGAATGCACAACCAAAATAACATGTGTTAACATATAAAGTTACTCTACCATTCATAGTTGAGAAAGACATACCAGCTTTATCAAGTAAACTCATAAATATCAAATTCTTTTTGAGTAAAGGTACTACTCTAACGTGTTTTAGAGTTAGTAATTTACCTGAAGAAAGCATCAAGTTTGTAGTTCCAACATGAGTGACATCTGCCTCACCACTATTGCAATTTTTCACTGTGTCTTTCACTCCTGTTACCTCAGTGAGTAAATTCTTATCATTTGTAGCATAACAGGCAGCACCGCTATCCAACCACATCTTTCCAATGAAAGCTTGAGGCTCAGGTTCATTAGTTAGCATATTAGCCTCATTTTGTGGTGCGGTATTCTTTAAGTTATATGGTAGTTTACACTCTGTTGCCCAGTGATCCCACTTTCGACAGTTATGGCACTTGCCATTCTTCTTCTTTTTGAAGATAGTTTTTTTGGCCTCTAACTATGAAGAGGATTCACATTTTGATGACTTCGACTTCTTCTGAGGTTTATTTGAATGTGAAACTAAGTTGGCAACTGACGTTTGTTGTCCTACTTGTTCCAAACTCTTCCTAGAATAGTTTTGATCCTCAATATGAATAAACCTCTTTAATTCATCTAGTCCAATCTGTTCTTTCAGTCTATGCATTTCAATTTTGAAAGAATTCCATTCAGCAGGTAGCTTACTCAAAACAAGACCGACAAAAAGATTATCAGATATATCAGATTTATCATCTTTTAGCTTGTTCCTCATGTTCTCTAATTTAATTAATTGAGAGGTGATACTTGAATCCATATTAAATTTGAATTCGAAAAACTTCTCTGCTAGGAGAGTTTTAGAAAGCTCCTATTGTTTTTGGAACTGAGCACTCAAGTGATCCTATATCTCTTTTGCCATCTTATACTCACTATAAGTCATACTTAAACGAGAATTTAAAGAATTTAGTAAGTAATCCCTACAAAAATCATCGTCTTTTTTCCATTGATATTCATCCACGTCTTCAATTGTAGATGCAAAATCACTTAATATGGTATAGAATATTTGACGTTCTTTCATACCAAATTGAACATGTAATTTTCAACCATGAAACTCAGTAACATCAAATGATTGCAACTTTATAATATCATAGGAACTACGTTTAGCCATTTTTAATCAGAGCTAAGAGCTCGAAAGAGTGCGCCCACAGATTTCAAAGACTCTAATTTTTGTCAAAACCACTTTGTACAGTTGGAATTTGCCCAAATAGATTTGGAGCGTCCAAAAACTTTAAGATGGACTACCTATTCTGCCGAAAAATCACTGGAATATTTATCGGTTATTAAAATCGCAGGAGAATGTATATGAAAACTTCATATTGCCATATTTCCTTCGTCCGATCTCCGTTTGAGGAGAATGACCACTCAAAACGATCGTCTCGACGTGTAGAACAAAGCCCAATAGGTTTCACTTCCTGAAATTGGGTAAAATTTCCGGGATCTGGGCCGAAAGGTTGCGGTTACAATATCTTCAAACTCAGATCCTGGAAAATCTTCCGTCGAATCGCGGAAGTGATTTAAAATATGAGTTCCTCTCGTTGAGATCTTCGAAGAGACACCTTACTCGCTCAATTTCGACACACGAAGCTAATACTTCAAGAGAGAAGGTTCTATTCGAAGAGAGAAGAATTTTGGGGCAGTGTTGGTGCTTGAAGTATTACACCAAGAGGCATCAAGTTTGGAATGCTCAATAGTGTTACCTTCAACTTAAGAAACCTTAGAGATAATGCATGTTATTGGGCTCCAGCCCATATGGACCCAAATAATCATGCTTTCACCTATTGGGCTTGTATGTGAACATACTATCGGATTATATTATTAACATATCCAACTTTAGCTCCACCAGTATCCCTACAAACTTCGATTCTTTGAGTCGGTTATAGAACACTAATCTGGGATCGATGCAGGGCGGGTTAGATATGAAAATATTTAAATTCCTCTCAAAAATAGCATATGAGAATCGAATCGAGGCCTTTTCCTTTTCACTTACTTAGCATTCTTAATTACATTACCCAAGGGTTTTATTTTATTCATCGAAGCTACAATAGTATTGAGGAAAACAAAGGGAAAATTTCTTTTTCATAAGAAATGTACGTCATAATTAATACAAAGGTAAAGAAATTTATTTGATACAATACAGATACATATATGCTAATACATACGCAGTTCTACATATTTGACCGTTGTACACTTTATCACAACTATAATCAATTTGAACATGTATACTGGCACCACTTAAAAACTGAAAATAAAATTTTCCACTTCATCACAGATAGATCCATATATCTCAACTAAATATATATATTATTAAGGGTTTAATATCTTTTATATTTTAAGAAATAATTTTATCTCATGCACACTTATAAAAGTATGTGGAGCTCATGTTTTCTTTTTCTTTTTCTTCTTTTCATATGATCTCGCATTAGCTCTACACAATTTTATATATACATAAGAGATAATAATTTTATCCCTTACAATATGAGAAACATCAAACCCTACAGTTAATTACTTCAAATTTTGTTGATGAGTGGGCGAGCTTTACACATGGCCTTCAATGGAACTAACCTTGATAGGGTAAACCACTTTTTCTCTGTCATGTCAATCTCTTCCTCACTTACTCGTTTCCAGTCAAAGCATTGAATCAATAATCCCAAATTCAAACCAACGTTATGCATAGCCAAGGCTTCTCCCGGGCAAGCCCTTCTCCCTAATCCAAATGCAATTAACTTTTTTTCCTCTCCTTCTTTATCAAACCTCTCAGGTTTAAAACATGTGGGTTCACTCCACAACTGAGGATCTCTTTGCATGGCCCAACAATTAATCATCACTACAGTGTCTCGTGGAACATTGAATCCTTCAATTTTGAGGTCATCTGAAGACATGTGTGGTAATAGCAGTGGAGCCGGAGGATACAACCGTAGAGTCTCAAGGATGATATTCTTAAGGTAAGGAAGTTTTGAAAGGTCTGACTCCTCTAAGAATCGGTCTTGCCCTATGTGTGTGTCCAATTCATCTCTTACCTTCTTCAATGCCTCTGGATGATTTAATAAATTTGCTATTGCCCACTCTAATGTTGTAGTTGATGAGTCTGTTCCAGCAAAGAGCATACCCTACAAAGCAAGTCAATAACCATATAAAGTCAACAAAACTTTTAATTTTACGAGATCAATGAGGTGGGAATGAATACTCTTATATGATATGAGATCATCTGAGACAATCCCTAGACAAATTAATTTATGGTAAACGGATTAGGACGGAGAGTGAAAAAAAATAACCACTGATTTATCTATCGAGATCATCTCATGTAATCTAGTGTCGTATGAGATGTCCATTTCTAAGTGGAGCATAACATATGATATTTTTGTAAAGATCAACTGTGTCTGAAATTTTAATGCACCTGACTAATTTAATTGTGTGTTTTAGTCTTTTCATCCCTTTCAGAGTTTGCAACTCTCAGGAAGGTATATAACATATAATTTTAGCAGGTAGGATATTCTTTTATCCTACTATCTATTTTTTCTACTAACACTCTAATCACCATTGGATTAGAGAAAAAGTTGAATAACAACTTTTGAATCTAATGGTGATTAGCTAGAGTGATAGTAAAGTGATAGTAGAAAAAATTGGTATTAAGAATATCTTACCTCTAATTTAAGATCATGATATTCTTAAATCACTACTTAATTAAAATCATTACCAAAACAAGCCCTTTGATGATTTGATCAGTATAATACTCAGGCTGTGATTCTTGCAGATTCAAGAGATGGTCTATCATGGTATTTTCTCGCTGCTTCCTGCTACGGTGCTCTTGAATGAGTGCATTCAAGAACGTATCAAACCTCTTACTAATATTCCGTAGCCTCTTCTCCACATTTTGATAATCAAACAACCTAAGGAAAGGCAAATAATCAGCCTTATTAGACACTCCAAATTGAAGCAACTGTGCTACGGTTTCTCTGAATTCCCTCGCTTCATCAACATCCTTGATGCCACTCTCTTCACCATAGTATCTCTTCCCTGATATCATCCTCATCATGTTGTTATATGTCATGTCCTGGAACTCTTGACTCAATTCCACTACTGCAAAGTCCATGCACGTGTCCCTGGCCAATTTATGCATCAACCTATTCGCTTCATCCCTTCGGATTCCGGAGAAGGAGTGAATACGTTGAGTTGAAAGGACATCAAGGGAAATGATACGGCGGAGGTTGCGCCAGTGCTCGCCGTAGGAGGAGGATCCTACGGTGGTGTAGTTGTAGAAGATGTACTTTCCTGAGAGTGAGCGTGGCCGATTTGCTAAGACGATGTCGTTTTTGGTGAAGCATTCTTGGTATGCGGATGGTGATGAAACAATTATAGCAAGACGGGAACCGAACCAGAGAGAAAAGATGTGGCCATATTTTTGTGACATGCGTTGGAAGGTGCGGTGAAGTGGTTGTTCGAGGTGGTGGAGGTTGCCAATTATGGGACGAGAAAGTGGACCTGGTGGAAGGTTTCTGAATTTTCTGCTTTGAAGAAAAAACTTGAAAATTTGAAGGAAAACTAGGGAAAGGAAAGAGTAATACAATAAGGGAAAGATTCCCATGGTTGATATTGGACTTAATATTATGCAGAGATTACTATGTATGCAATTGAGTTATGCAATATGTGCCATATGAAGCAATGTTTATATAGTGAGTGTAGGGGTGTGGGATATGTCACATAATAAAATAAAAAGCATTAAAAAAGTCTAATCCAACATCTTTAAAGTTTTCGGTTGAAATGATTTTTTTCATGGTATTAGAGCTTTAGTGACCACAAGATTATGAGTTCGATCCTCACCGCCTCCAATTTTTCAGGGAAAATTAAGAAAAATACAAGGCAGATAAAAAAAAAAGAAAAAAGGACTTGTGTAGCATAAGGTAGACCAAAAATGAACTTGTGTCATATCCACGCTTTAAGTTCAAGGGCCTCTTGCGTGAGACGTGAGGAGGTGTGTTAGAGAATAAAATAAATGTATTAAAAAAGTCATCATCCAACACCTTAATAATTAAGTTAAAATGGTTTTTTACAGTATAATTTAACCGTGACCGTTAATTAATGGTTCCAAGTCAAGGTCAAGAATCACGCTGTTTCAAAAGTCAAGAGTCAAGAATCACGCTTGTCTCAGCAGGTTTTATTTTATCTTTGAATTGTAATTAAATGAATATTAGTTTTTCTTTTATTCAAACAAATTGATGTAGATAGAGCTAGCAATTGAAATTACGTCGTTTGCTTTTTCATTACGGTAAACATGCATGCGTTGATCCAATGATAAAACAAATAGTACTTAATTGGTGAAACCTTATTAATTAAAATCGGATGCAACATTCTTTTAATTACACTGATCTCTTATAAATGAATGCATGCTAAATGTAACACCCTGTATGCATTCGGATTGTTATCGTATTACGGTATTAAGCTTAGCTCAATTAAATGCGGAAGCTAAAATAATTTAAGTGATCAGACATGCAATGTTACTTTTTCCTTATTAACATGACAAAATAAAAGTTCATTTATATCCTTATGTAATTGCAAAACTACAATAGAATCCTGAAATGCCTCAATATATAGAAAATATTAAGTCATGAAACTACCACACGTAGTCATGACAAACGTCCATATCTCATGGCGTAACAAAATACACATGTTCAACAATAACACAAATAAATCGAAGGCATGGACAACCCTTATGCTCACAAACAAATAAAACATACATAGTCTAGTAAAAACATAACGTCATAATAATCATGACACGGTACAATAATTATATACATAATAATCTGAATAAAACATGCATCTCAAATAAACTTTACTCCGGCCTCTTGCCTTGGGAAGCATCAATCTCATGGACATTTGTACCTAAAAATATTCCCCATAAAGGGTGAGATCTCTAAACAAAAATCTCAATAAGCAAGGGTTCTCGAAGAGTTCCTCCACCCCAAGCTCACTTCGGTAATCAGTTCTCAAATAACAATTTAACAGTAATAATATCCATATGATGCAGCAACACATATATATATATATATATATATATATATATATATAAATATATATATATATTATGCATGTGTGCTAACAAGTCTACTGGCCAGAGAACGGTATGATTTATACACGTCTGCTACATACATAAGAAGTATAAGGCTCTTGCCTTATATCCACACTCATGGAATACAGTCTTGTGCAGCTCCACACTATACTCATGTATTAGACATCTTATGAGTAATACACCACACAACATACATCTATAAGAGTGCATCATTTCATCATCTCAAATAACAGATAAGACATATATACCATATAAAACTACCATCCTCCTCTTGGAAAATGGTGGAACAAATCAGAATTAACCCTGAGAACACGAAACTTACCTGTCAAGTTGCGTACTCAAGCTCAAAATCCAAACAGCAGTCCAAGCGTCACCAAACAGTGGTATCACAGTATGTTTATATCATAAATAGCATCAATAATAATGTCCTAAAATCTCAAGTTAAACGAACTATGTTTTTTTAGTGACTGTAGGCTTCTCCCAAAGCTTTAATCATGAGTTATTTCACTTTTATCACTTGAACACTTATGGGACAAGCCCACACTAATTCATTAAGGTTCTACATAGTATTTAAGCTCTCCCAACTTGTTATAATTGATTTTAGGCTCAAACTGCCAAGAGTATTCGAATACTGCTCAAGAGTATCGAATACTGCTTGTTCCCAGAAACTATCTCAATACTTCACTAAAGTATTCGATACCACACAAAGTATCCCAATACTCCACGATAAGTATTTGAATACTGTCATTCACAGAAAGTATCCCAATACTTCACCAAAATATTCGAATACCACACAAAGTATCTCAATACTTCACCAAAGTATTCACATACTCCACGATAAGTATTCGAATACTGTCATTCCCAGAAAGTTTCACAATACTTCACTAAAATATTTGAATACCACACAAAATATCCTAATACTCCATGATAAGTATACGAATACCTTGCAGACAAAATGCAGAAACTAGAGTGGTTTCTGCATAAACTCGATTTTAAAGATTCTCCAATGGTTCTAAGTCCAATTTCTCCACAAACAGAAGTTCATGACCACTTATCATGCATAGATTAACAACCATTAACTTGAACAATCAAAGTTCCTCTTTTAAGGACTCAAACAAGTTATGTTCTTAAAATTTCAAAGGATATGGTGATAGGTTACCTTAGGACTTGTGAAAATAAAATAATGAGGGAACTTTGAGGGTTTTAAAAATGCTCCAAGCCACTGCCCTAGTGGTGCACAAAAATTTGGCTTACAAGGTGATGACTTTCTTCACAAAGGTGGCTCCTTGGTACACAAAGAGGTGTGGAAAAGGTACTAACCAACTCAAACCAAGAAGGCAGCCCCAAAGCATTCCAAACCAGATTGAAAAACTCACCAAGAACAGTTCTTTCTCTAGAAAGATGTATGCCTTTGAGTGTTTAGTGGGTTTTGATGGAAGAAATCCAAGAAAAGATGAAGTCTTGAGGGATTTCTTGAAGAAGAGACTTTGGTGTTAAGGTGAAGAACAAAATGACAGCCATGAAAATTAGCATGGGGGTCTGTAAAAATGACCTAGGGTTTAGTGCCATTAGCTATATATATGTGCACTCACTTAAACAAACAGTATTAGTTTAATTAGTTTAATTAGTTTCTCTCTTTTTTAACTCTAAAATTTTATATTCTTAACCTAGATATTTTTCTAGGAATTATCATATTTTTACATTAATTTTTTGTGACACTCTTTAGGTACACGTTTTCTACTGCTAAATAGCCAGTATTAGTTCTGACATCACCGCTTACTATTTTCCTCTCAAATTTGATATTCTTGACCCTAGATATTTTTCTAGAAATATTCATATTTTTATTTTTATTTTTCGAGTTACTTCAGCAGTATCCAGTTATACCGTGAAATACCCGGTGTTTGCACTTTCCTTCTGAAAAATGACTTAATATTAATTATGCTCTTTTCATTTTTATCCATAGTCAATTATGGAATTATTTCTTAAATCATATTTAACTCCTTAATTTTTAATTTAGCGCTGCGGGTTCTTAAACTAATGCTTAGTACATGTTAACCTTATTGAACTTTGTTGCTTGAGAAGCACAAACTTATAGACTCAAATTTAGCTCGCATATAATAAAACATGCATGCATTTGTCGGATATATTCTTTTAGATCTTATTAATTAGAGAGAGATAAAACCATTTAATAGCTTGACCTTTTAAATGAGATGGATGTTTATGAGGGTATTAGAACTTGACTACTAGTTCGATCATCATTGCCCTTCACTTTTTAGTGAAATTAAATCAACATAAGGTAGAACCAAAAAATGAATTTATGTAACATCCACGCTTCAAATCCAAAGGTTTCTTGTATAAAGAGAATGTTAGAGAGATAAACCTTTATCTAACTGTTAGAACTTTTAGGTAAGATATTATCCAAGATATCTCAAGATTATATGGTGGTATAAGGGAGCTGAGTAAGTGGAAAAGGAAGAGTCTCGTTCGATCCCCACATGTCAACTTTGAGAATGGTTTAAATATCTTTATCCCTGAATGTCCTGCACTTCGGATTAGTCCCATGATAGGCTCAAAGATTCGAAATTTGTGGGTATACCGAGAGGCAACTAACTCGTCTCAAAAAGATAATTATGGTTAGTTTAACTTTAAAAAAAAAATTAGAATGAAATCTTTAAAGATTTCACACAAAATATGTAGTGTTTATTGGTGGTAGATATGGGATAAAGGAAATCTTGTTGCGCCTAGACCCGAGTATCCTGATAATTGTAAGAATTTCTTTCACTTTACAAGCTTTAGTTAGGATCGATTTGGATCCTTTCACGTAAAAAAATTGATCATGTGATTATGTTATTTGATCACAATCACTTCTTTAAAAATCATACACTTTTCTCTTTCTTATTTAATCATCAATAAGTGGTGTGATCAAATAACATGATTACATGACCATCTTTTCATATAAGAGGATTCAAAGCCGGTATCGATATATTTTTTTTAGAGGCAGGATCTTTTGAAATTTGAAAGCATGTGACATCGTTGATCTTTTTTTATCTAATGGCTCTCAGATGATGTGTCAAATTTGAAATTTGACACTGGTATCAAAGGATCCTACCTTTTTTTATATAAGATATGATACTTTCAAACTTGGCCTTGCTTGCCTTGCTTGATGTTTTGTCAATGCCCCATTATTAGTGAAATATTGAAAATCGCCTTTGTCTGATTAAAAATAAAAGAATTATATACTTTCAGAATTTGTCTACGTTAACGTCGTCTACAAGTGAAAGTAATTTATGCAATATAGTATAAAATAATAAATTGTGTGTAATATTAAAAAATAGAAAAGACACGTGTTTTGTACTCCTTGACCCTAACTTATAATCGGGAGTATAATCTATCTAAAATTACGTTTTATCACGTCAGGCGTTGAGTAAAAGAATATTCTAATTATGTGAGGATAGAAAAATAAATTACACAAAAATATTAAAATAGATAATTATTAAATTATAATCGTTGATTCAGTTTTATATAGTTATGATTATCTCAC